AGAGAGAGAGAGAGAGAGAGAGAGAGAGAGAGAGAGAGACTGACTGGACAAAGGGAGGACTGTGGCGGGAGACAAGGACCGGATAAAGAAAAAAAAAAACTTAAACGAGACGGCAGAGGAAGAAACATAGTGGGCCGAAATAACAGAGGAGTGGGGGGGGGGGGATAGGGCGGGATAAAATAGCAATCACGAAACCTCCTGCTACATGTGTACCTCGCTTCACCACCCGTCCTGTCTTATTGCCTGTACCAGACAAACTCCATACGCTCATCGCAAGAACAACTCGTGTGTGGTGGGGCTACCTCATTTCTCGTCGTCGACGTGTAACGGTTCAGGAAAGCCTCTTCCGTGGGGCTCCAAAGGTGCGCAATTGCCTTCCCCGACTCTGCGTCGTCCGCCCACTTTTCGAGGCGCTCGTACTGCTCCGGGGTATATACCTGTTTTCGTCGATCGTAGTGGTCGAACACCGGCCGCTGATTACTTATGCAGCCTGGCTAGTCTACAAATCCGTGCTAAGTTCGGGGCAAGCGGCGTCGTTTTCTATTTGCTGTTTTTCGTCTTGATCTTCATCATGTTCATCCCAGCGCGGCGCAATGCGAATCTTTCCGCGGCGGGACACAAGCGGAGAGGGACCCACGCAACGCAAGGACGCCACCATGGCAGCGGTGCCTGGGCACATGGCAAAACAATGGAGCATACAGCAGTACAGACTGGTACATGGGTTACACAGCCATCCCTCGCCTTGGTTTGCCAGCCGCTCCGTGTGGCCTCCAGGATCCCCGCCAGCTCCAGCAGCGCCTTGTCCGACCGCATAAGGGCCGCGTTGAACTGGACATCCTGTTGAGTGGAACAGGTTGTTGTTCCAGATTGAACGAACGATCGGGCCACGGAAGGATAGCACGGCGGTACCAATCGCGCGAGCGAGGCGGGTGTCTGGAATTTCGAGATCCACCTCCTTTGTTGGTCGCCGACAGGCCGATGTGCCCTCCAGTGTGCGTATGCTACTATTGGCGGAGGAGGACTACGACCGCAGAATACAAAAGAGTGACTCACCCTCCTTCCCTTCCCCCCTCGTACGCCCTTTCTCTTCTCTGGAACACTCGTGTGTACACAGGTCCCCGCGTAATGCACCAAGGAGATCGCATGGCGCTGTTGGTGCAAGGGTTCAAAGTTCGCCGCTTCCACAAAACGTGCTCGACAAAGCAATCCTGAATTTGTCCGCACCGCATTTTCACTGCTGCTAAAGCTTGCACCAGCGCGCGAGTGCCAACTTTCGTGGCGATTCGAAACGCTCGCGGTCCACACATCCCCCCCCCCCCCCGCGCGGATAACCTATCACGCCATATGGTGAAGAGATACCCTACCTGCAGCAGGAATGGACATTCCCGCTGTACGTCCTCGTCGACACGGCCGTGCCGGGCAGAGCAGTCGGACAGGAAGATGGCGGCCTCAAACGCTTTTTTGCCCGGAAACCCGGCCACCGAGGACACAGATGAGGGGATCGGCGGTGGCACCCACGACTCCTTCGTGGCTTGTGCTCTTGTCCAATCAGCGACCGGGAAAGAGAACGACCATCAAAAGGCAGTGCGGTGGACGGGGGGNGGGGGGGGGGGGGGGGGGGGGGGGGGGGGGGGGGGGGGGGGGGGGGGGGGGGGGGGGGGGGGGGGGGGGGGGGTACTCATGTTTTGCATGCGTTCGCGGTTAGATCACGCGTTCTCGAGATGGCAGGGAAATGTTCCCACAGGACCGATCACCGGTGGCCACTTGTTCCTTCCTATTTTGCCAAGGGGGAGGGGAGGTGCGGCAAGTCTCCGACCGGTTCTCTCGAGCTATCGCCGCTGGCGCACCAACACAAGCATCGTAACAGCAGCAACGGGCAGCGACAACGACGCAGAAGCAGGGCAAGAAAACCTCGACTGAAAGGGAGCAGAGCCGTCGGAACTCACCGCGCGTCCGCCAGCAGAGAGGGCCAAAGCGCCGAATCCGCGGACACTTCCGTCTCCCAGGGGTGGTGCACGTACACGAGGCCCGTCTCTGGATCGTTTCGGCTCCCGTGCAGGTAGTCGTGGTACCGGAATAGCGCCGGGAATAGGTCTTGCAGCCAAAGGCGGGCTTCGGCGTCCCTTTTTCAGACCGGTCATATTGGCGAGCGGGCGACGGGGGAAGTGGTGGTTAAACCAGGAAGCGAAGGAAAAAGGGTGGGGTGCGTAAAGCTTTTTGTCGGCTGCCTTGCCCGCTACAAGATTGTAGTCTTAAGTGCACGAGGACAGCGGCGATACTGCTGCTGCTGCTGCTGCCTGTTCGGGAACAGACTGAACCGCTTGTCGGTGATTCGACAGTAGTATGCTTGCTCCTTGGATTCCCTTGGGGAATGAGCCGGGCGCACAGGCAGCTTGATGTCGAATGATCGCTTTTTGCGCAGATGACTCTCCAAACAAAAAACAAAAGCACCGTTTCGGTATACTGTCCAACCCCCAAACCCAAACTCCCAAACAAGCCACCTGCAACCTTAGTTCGTCCCGCCCTGTTCCATTCCATTCCTCCCTCCGTTCCCTTCCTTTCCCCCTCCGTTCTCTCCCCTTCCCTCCCCTTCCCTTCCCGCTACCCACCTGGGAGACAGGTCGAATATCCGTAGCGCAGCCTCCGCGTGTAGGGGAATCGCGGCCAAAGAGGAAGTGTTGGCGCCGCCCGCCGACTGTGACGAGGAGGCGTTTTCGCTGCTACGGCCGCCCCAACCCCCGGGACCCGGGAGGAACGATCCCCCAAGAAAATCGGCCTCGTAGCCTGGGGCGTACCTAACGGTAGGGACCAAACCGTTCTTCCACTGGCCGCGGAAGACCGACAGTAGTTCCGCCTGCTTTGCGGAAGGCGTGGAGAGAGAGAGAGGGAGAGAATGGGAAACAGAGG